AAAAAGTAAGACAACCAAACTAGCATGCAAAGAAAATTTACATACATGTTCAGTGTCACAAAACACTCAGCGCCACACAATATTTCCCAAATGTTGTTAATTTGTGGCTATTTTTTAATCATGTTTAAATTATGCAATTCTATGCCAAACATCCTCAACACAGTGTTAAAAGACAGTACGAGCGAAGCAATAAACTAACATTTTGAAACTTTTTCTATATTAAATTTTCATTTTAGTGAACTATTTTCTTCTCTGTTTTACTTGGGAAAAGCTGAGTGGCAGAGGTTGTGGATAAATTCAACTTCTAGCCTGCCATTCACCCCTATGCTCAGGTCAAAGGTCAGAGGTGAGTGACAGGACAAGAGAGCCATGTCAGGGCCATGCTTATTTAACTCTTTAACTAATGAAAGGGTAAAAAAGACTAACACATTAATGACAATGATATGCATACAGATGCAAACTGGCCATTTGAATAAAGGATATATTAGCAAGCTAGCTAGCTAGATATATTTTTCTTTTTTTTCTTATTTCTTTTATAATTTTCCCTGACCTAAACTGTCTAATTTAATTTCATTCTGAACCTCTTAGGTGTGTAATTTCATATGTATTATGTAAAGTATGCGACACTTTCAGATTCACACATTTAGCCTACTAACAGCTATATAGCATCTATTACCATGAACACACTGTACTGAGCATGACAACATTTTAACATGCATTAATTGTAGTTTGTCTCTAGGGCATAGGTGCAGTACAAACGTCATGGTGCAGGCATCAGCAACTCCCAACCATCTCAGACAGATTTTATTGTGTTACATGTGCTAAAAGATTCACCCTCAGTGTCTTTTATATGCATTTTATAGTGGCTTTTTTCATTCATCTGTAGGGCTGGGTATCGTTCAAAAATTTTCGATATCGATACCGATACCGATACCTTGACTTCGATACCGGTTCCTGAACGATACTTTTTTCGATACCAATTTTATGAAATCAATTTTAACAAGATTACTATAATTTTATGCTATATAGACCTACCACGTTACCCTCCACTGGATGTAGAATGAGCAGCATTAAACTACATTTTGGCATTTTACAATACTTATGTGGATATTTTGGATGAAAGTAACTCAAAAGTAACTCAAAAGTAGTGTAATGCATTACAATTCAGAGAGAGTAATATTGTAATGTAACTAATTACTTTCAAAAGACAGTAACTAGTAATATATAATGTATTACATTTTGGAAGTAACTTGCCCAACACTGGCCGTTTGTGATGAATACTGAGGTGTATGTGTGCATCTGTATTGTAGCAACTAACTGCTTTTGCACTGTAGATAATTCTTCCCCCGGTATGTTTGTCTCATAGACATGCAGTCCCACGTGGGAATGTGAGCGGGTTGGGAGGGAGTGAATGTGCGCTCACTGAGACCTTATTACCTCTTCCTGCGTGGAGTGTGTTGTGTCTCGAGTGATTGGTGATCACATTTGTAATGGCACACTGCTGCACAACGCCATTATGCCCTTTGTCATCTTACTGAGCCACTGACAGCCAACTGACTCTCGGAGACAAGAGGTATAAATGACAAACACACACACACGACCATGTTTGTGTGATGATTCTGAGACTACAGGTGTGCGTTTAGAGCTTTTAAGTAAGCATTACACTCTTTCTAACTCCTAGTTCCCTAAGATGTGTGGCCTATTGATTTCTTGTTGTGCAAAGAACCGTTCCATTTAAGATTTCTATCCTGCATGTAGCCGGGAGCACACCAAGGCCCCATAAATTAGGGAAATCGCACATTCATCACATGCATTATTGTAAGATACTTTGGGAACGTGACAGCTTGGAGATCTATGGTGGTGCATTACAAAATGCAACGACGCCTCCCGTTCTATCTCTCCATTTCTCCTTGGGGTGATGTTGGAGTCACTGGGACACGCCCATGATTTAAAGGAGTTTTTTTTCTGCTAATTTCTGCCTTTTCCTCATCCATGTGTGTAGATTGTCCACGCACGAGCGTGTGATTAAGAGAATTTATAAGGTGCTCTAAATTAGCATTTGTAATGGGAGTGCTTCCAAGGTGAGACTGCAGATGGTGAGTGAATTACAGTGCATGTAAATTACACAGGTTAAGAGAGACAGCTCGCCTCAAAGGGTCCGCAGACAAAGTGAAGCCTTGGGTCAGCGCAGCAGTGAATCAATCAGGGCCCGATTGTTGAGGAGTGGATGCATGTCGCCTGCATCATTGTAATTTGCTATGGCGGGACGTGCCAGTGCTCGCTTATTGTAAAGGCCTACTGAAAACGCTCTGCGCGTGTTCGTTTGTGATAGCGCAAACACAGATACATTTCCGTCGCCGGCGTGCGTAATCCGCAATTTTGTTTATCTGAAAAGTCCAGCAATACATAAAGTCCCTCAGTAGCTCAATAGCATTACAACACAGCATTCATTTGTGTTGGAGAGGGCTGCTTCGAGAGTTTCACTGAGCTTTAGACACTGGTCTTTTGTAACAGCGCAACGGAGATAAAGCCTCCAATGTGTGGTTCGCTCCTGCACACGTAAACCTCTCATTCTGAGCAGATTATGTGTACAGACCAATTACGCTCCTCACATCCTGGGAAATATACTCATTGTTGAGGTATTTAGACACAAAGCAATTATGTAGGCTTTTTCTACACAAACATACATTTGGCTGTGCATGTGTGCGCCTGTTTACAATTTGTTTACTCCCTGTCATGAAATGGGTCAAATTCAAATGCAACACAACCTCAAGACACACCGTCCTGTATGCAGATATCATTTAAAGTTCGAGTAGCTTTAAAAAGATGCCATTAGCATCAGGGAGGAGTGGATTTTTGTTTTTTTTTTTTTTGCATGTGTGGGAGAGTGCAGGCATTTCTTGATAGTTAAATGTCTCCATGTATAGTTGTTTTCAACCTTATTAACCCCTAGTTTGGTGGCTCACCAGGCTGGGAGAGGAGAGAAAGTGGCTTTCTTACACTTCAATTTCACGCACATTTTCTTTGCGACTAATGAGCACCTTAAATATGCCGCCAGACTTCAGGGATACCTGTGAAGGCTGACATTTTCACACACAGCAGCACCTTGTCACCACACGATGTCCCCTCTACCTGGCTCCTGACGACTTTGAGTGTGTGTGTGTGTGGGTATGCATGCTGAATGCTCTCTGACAGATCTGACGAGGAACATATCGGTAACTAAACAGAGTAAACCATTTTTGAGAAAGTGTCCCACCATTATGAGATATATCTTATACATGCCCCTACTTCCACTGATCTGTTCAGAAAGATTTTCTCTCTCTCTTTCTCGCTCACACAAACAGCAAGATGGGAATCAGCATATACAGTATGTCATTTACATTTTTTTGTAGTCATACTCTAAATGCGATTCTGTTGTCATCCTGGATGAGGCCCAAACAAATTTGTCCCTGCAAAATGGGAACCTGAGCTAATTACAACAGTGAAAATGGTGAAAAAGAGACAGTTAATGCCAGAGCAATTATCTGCTACATTCCTTTGTAGAGAGGGAAAGGCGCATCGCTCTTCACTCCGCCTGATGCTTCCCTAGTTAAACCATATTAGGAGACGTTGTGAGTCGATGTGTCACCAGGCAGGGAATTAGATGAGAGGAGTGATGGGATAGATCTGCCAAAAATATATGACACCACTAAAGTCTGCCGCATAAGAGATAACACTTAATATTTGTGAGACCGAGAGGTCTATGCTACTGCACACACACACACACACACACACACACACACACACACACATTTTCAATACACTCCATTTATATGCGTTTTGAAAAGTGGGGACATGGGGTAATGTCCTGAAAAGTCATCTTCTCTTTGTAATACCTATGTCATACCCTTGTCATTATACAAATTTATGTCCTCATTTGTAACAAACACACAAACACACACACACACATACACACACACATACACACACATATACACACACACACACACACACACACACAAGCCACCTGGCAGATTTTAATATGCTCATTCCTGTCAGAGGTCCGGTGGTCTACCCCTACTGCCACACAAACGTCTTTTCACACACTTGTCGACTGCTATTTAACTGACAGCAGTTCTCTTTAATCTGCACATCTCTTATTCCCCGGTGCCCGACAGACTTGTGAGCCATGACACATCAAGTTATTGCAAAAAAACAAAACAATTTCAATTTAATGCTGCAGTAGAAAAAAGGTTATATGAAGTCATATAATGAGTGCTTCATTGTCAACAACAACAACAAAAAAAGAAGAAAAAAGAAAATAAAATAAAAAACACGGCACAGAATGCATAACAGTGCCTGTGCTGTTAACATGCCAATATTTTACACATAAGATTTCCATTCACTGGCAGCTGTCAGTTACTTCAGTAAATTAACTGCCAAAACGTAGCAGAACTGTCAATTGGAGGTAAGGTAACCATGGTTACCTTTCATATCCCCAAAAATGATGAAGCTGCAGTGTGGTTTTATGGAGGAATAATTAGACAGAACAACAAAATAAAAGATACCAATCAAAAAGGCATTCTACAATAGGAAACAACAACCAAGAATGTTTATAAATAAAAGGTTACATTGTGGAATTCCTCCTTACATTATAAAGTAGCATCTTTTTATACAACAATTTAAGTGAAATGATGGAACAAGTACTGTCTTGTACAAGAAGTTTAACCCTTTGAGCACGAGGTGGAAATAAAACTTTAGGGTGATTTTTTTTCTTCTTCTCATTTTCATATCTTCTGATTAAATAACATATTTATAAAACTATTGTGCAAAACAATTTCATTAATGTCCTCATATATTGTGCACCAGTAGATAGTCATACTCATCTTAAATAAAAAAAATATAAAATGATGCATAATTTAGACAGAAATTAGTTTATGTTTTTTATGTACACATTTTTACACTGACCTGAATTCATAAAGGCCCCTGATTTGATCAAACTAAAAACTGCTATTTTGGATTCAAAGCTGGTAGGCAGCGTGAATACTGGGGTAGCCTCCCCAGCTGGGTGTGCCATTCTGTGCTTTGTTAATGGCAGATGTTACTGTATTCTCAAGAGACTTCAGAATGTCAAACCCCCCCTTAGGGTTTTCTTCAAGATCTTCCTCTGTCAAATATGTATATTTGGATGAGACTTCAAACTTCTCGTCAGTCTCACTTTCTGTTGCCTTCTTGTCTTTGCTATCATTTGTCTCCTTGGTACATTCCACTTCCTTCTCCTCCTTTTTAATCTCCATGGGTGTGATGGCAGGGGAGATACTAAGGGGAGGAGGTGCAGGTGGTGGTGGGGAAAATGCGGTGGCAGCCAGTGGCACTGACTGTACCTTGTCTTCATTAGTAGGTATGGTGTTAGGAGCCATTGTGGACATCGACTCCATGATAGGTTTGCCTTTCTTGATGGCAGAATTAGTAACCTTGATGAAGTGTCCTGTGACCATCATATGGGCTGTCAGCTCCTGTAGTGTGTCATGTGAGCTTCCACACTCCATGCACTTCAGAATCTGGGATTTTCGTGACTCAAACTGCCATGCATAACTAGCTCCATTCTGGTGTCCATACCGATTGTTAGGTGTGATGTAGGGATTGGGGGTCTTTTGAAGAAGGTCATTGGGGTCAGACAAAGAAGGCTTGGGGGTGCCACCATTGGAATCTGGTGAGCTGGGGAGTTCTAGCTCAATGGGGGCTCTTTTACGAGCTGAAGAGATAATCTTGGCTGCCACAGGAGTTACTGGTTCCTTAAGAGGCACTTTCTGGTAGTGTTTTGTCTTTATCATGTGAACACTAAGGTCCTGCAGTGACTCAAAGGAATGGCCACAGTACATGCACTTAAGAACTTTCTGGGCATCCTCTTTTCCTTCCATCTCCAGCAGGGAACGCTTGCGAGGCTTCGACCAACGCTTGGTACCTTCACTGTCTGTCTCATGGTTATCATCTCGGTAATGGCCCGTCTCATTCATGTGCACGGTGAGCTCGACCAGAGTGTCATAGGCAGCACTGCAGTCTTTGCAGTGGAACTTGCTTGCACCAGTGAAGATGGAACCATAGAGTTTGGTGCTCTGCCGATAAAGCTGCACAGTACTGAAGAGGTTTGGCTCAGATGCTGGGTGCAGCAGTCTACTCTGGTTCTGTGAAACATTCTGCAAGGTCTTAGCCATTGCTGTCTGGTGCCAGTCGTAACCGCCACTACCACAGCTACTGCTGCTGCTACTACTGCTGCTGCTACTACTGTGACTACGTGGGGGCTTTTCTGCTGATTGTTGAGACATATTCAAATTCAGCGATGACCAGTAGGAGTTGGTCAGGAAGCTAGTGTAGATAGCTTTCATCTGATCCAGGCTGTCTGGGCCTAATGTGGTTGCCTCCTCACTGCTTGGCGTGGCTGTTGTCGTCATCATCACAGATGAAGTTGATGAAAGAGACGTGAGGGGCTCCTTGATTAAGAAAGCATTCTCACTCATTACCCAGCAAAGGCTTGCCTGCTTGTAAATAAAAATGACTGTATGTACATTTCCGACATAAAAATCCCTGCACCAAACACATTTGTGTCAATTACGAAAGATTCGAAAGTTGAAAGTTATTATTTACAGTTTAGCCTGGAGAATGCAAACGCTCATGAAAAACATGGTCATGTTTGAGCAAGCCTGAAGAAATAAGCAACCAAATATATATTATTTTTAACTTCCAGTGGAAGTCATGCAAAAAGAGAAAGGCAGAAAGAGAGAAAGAGACACAGAGAGAAATGTACTGCATTGAAATAATTCCGTGCATTCATGTCTGTGTCAGTTAATCATGCTTTTGACCAGGTATGTAAACAATGGAGAGAGAGGACACTCCATTGGACACACTGGTTTTCTGTGAACACATTCTATCATGTCTAAATACCACAAATGTCAAACTACTCATGCTACAACTACAGCACACAGCATATACATTTAATTCTAAATACAATATGTCAATTTGTATACAAGGAACATTCCATGATTTCCTCAACAAAGACTACATAGAATTCAAATTTTATGAATTTGTATCAGCCCCTTAAAAACAATCTTTTTAGGTTAGAGATTTCATTTAAGCTTAACAAAACAGCACTGGTGTGATGCAACAACAATGGCTGTGAAACAACAGCAACAAAGTAAAAAGAATGCCATCAACATGAGGACAGTCATTTTGTAGCCCTTGGCAGAATGACCGAAGACTGGCAAAGACACAAACCCCTTTTTAGTTTGCAGTTGTAATGTGCATACCTCATGGCTTCAGGCATTCTGTGCTGTTTCAATAAACTCGATAGAATTCTCTTATTTATTTTTTAATTATTATTATTTTTTTATGTAGTCAAATTATTACTTATAATTAATTTACAAATCTACTAATTATTAATTTTGTTAGTATTATTATCAACATTAACATAATGCATACAAATTGATAAATAAAAAAAAGTGTGATAGAATTTATATCCTTCCTGTTTTAATTGTAAATATCTAATAGTTAGCTATTTGGTTTTCTGAACTGTGTATGTGTGTGTGAGAATGTTTGTTCCAAACTGAAATTAAGGGGACAAAATTAAGCAACTACTGATGTCTCAAAACAAAGATAAAAAAAGACCATTCAAAAGTGATTTTTTTACAGCATTATTATTAGGATCCATCTTCTCACACACATCACAGCCAGTCTGTGAAATCGAATCGCCCCCTACACAAATCACAACCAACTGTGATCGTGCAGCACACACAAACTCACATGCACACGCTCACACACAGCCATCTGTTCTGAATCAGCCAAAACGACAGCTGTTTAAGAGAACAATGCCTTCGTTCAGGAAGCAGGGAGAAGCAGAGCTTTACATCAAGGCCAAATAGCAATGTAAAAACCTGGTTCCTTCAAATGTATACACTTTAAACCTATTCACAATGATTACAGCACACACACACAAAGTGGAGGTTTTAGCATGGAATTTCCTGCTAAACCACTACATGTAAAATGTAAGGTCAACCTTGAACATAATTACACAAAATGATTAGCTGGTAATTAAAGTTAAAAAGGAGGGTGAGTGTGCCAATGGGCAAAAAAAAAAAAGAGAGAGCGAGAGAGAGAGAGAGAGAGAGAGAGAGAGAGCATTTGCTCATCACTTCAAGTACAAGCAAACCTGTCTCACTGTAACCTTGACCTGAACTTGACTAAGTAGAGCACAGAGTAAGTATTGCCAGCGAGTAGGCGTACGCCCTACAGCAAATCTGAGATGTGTGTACATGTTTCTGTGTATGTGTGTGTTTTGTTCAAAATTCATTTTCTGACACCAAACACAGAATTAGCACTGCTTGACAACACAACAATCGGTCATAAGCCCCAAGGTAACCTGAGAGGGGTGGAGAGAGACGAAAGCAGAGGCAGGGGCTAACGAGAGAGAGACCAGACAATCTGCGACACACACACTTACACGTACCAAGTGTTGGTGCATGTCCTGGCTGTATTCCAGGTTCCCAAGCCCCCAATGTACCTAGAGTCTGTGTGTTCTGGCTGCGAACAATACTGAGATTTCATCCCTGGACCTTCTGAAGCCAGTGCTCCAGTCCAGGCCTACCCACACCACACAGGTGCTGTTTTAATTAGAAAACAGGATGCTTGGATCCAAGACTGGTAGGGTGGGGGTAAAATGAGAATGACCTCCCAATGATTTGGCATCAGACTGGAAGAAGAGCTTGATCTAATTTACACTCGAACATCCAGGGAGACGACCAGCAGAGAATGCTGTTTTCTAAGCAATGGAGAGCGTAACCTTGCAGACTTAGGCTGGACTATTAGAGCACGTACTGTCTTCAAACATATCAGAGTATGTAAAAATCTTAATACAGATCATAGTGATAAATCTAATCCTCAAGCCCTTTCATCAAGTGAACACGATTGAATGTTAACTAAGTTATGCAAATATGACTCAACCATTTGTGATTATATTGTTTGAATGACTGCAAGAACTAAGGTGCACTTTTTAATTAAAATAAAGCGGCTACTGTCAACCATAAATCAATTTTATTGAATATATACATAATATGATAGATATATAGATAATAGATAAAGTGATAAATGAAATGTACAAAAACATTTTGAAGTTATATAAAATAGGTTATTATAACAAAATCACAAAAATTGTCTCCACAAACAAAGCTAGATTTCAAAACCGTTGGAGTTTGAGGTTGAAAAAACAACAACATCTGGTATCAAGTATATAATGTTGAAAATAGTCATAATATTGTGTGTGTGTCTATGTATCGAACGTTTAGAGTTTGACATTTTATTACATTATTACACCTGTTAAAAACAGTTGTGCTGCTTAATATTTTTTGTAGATATTGTGATACTTATTTTAAAGGATTCAACATTTAAAAATACATATGCATATAAGAAAAGAATAAAACAAATTTATCAGCCTTCAGCTGTCATGTATTTTTGGTGTGTGTTTCTTCCTATACATGGACAATGTAGAACTGTATACAGTACGTGTGAACCAAGTTAACACCCCTCAAGCTGCTGCCATTCTTGTTTGCAATCGGCCTCACTTATACAGACAGCAGTGTAAGTCGGCAGCCCGGTCCAATACTTCTGGGTGTGCAGATGAGCTGAAGAGAGCGAAAGAGTAAGTAGTTGGTAATTAAAGCTGCTATATATAGCCCCTAAAGCCCACATTTATAATGGGAGGTATCTCTCTCTAATATGCCACTATCTGCAATGTGATATCATTAGGAGGAAAATGGTTTGTAGCCTTAAGCAGACAGGCTGTCTGTGTGCGGCTGGAGAATATGAGATAGCACCAATCCACTTCTCTTCTCCTCTTTCATCTTGTCTATGCCCTCACTCCTTTCCTCACCTCCCCTCCATCTCTCCTTGGCTATCATGACCTGTGTTAATGAAGTTAATTGAATTTGAGATCAATAATGCTTAATTATTGCAATTTGACATGCACAGGCAAATTGGTGGGGAGGCCAGACGTGTATGTACGCATGTGTAAGTTAAAGGAAATGTGTCCGTGTGTGTTTGTTTGTGTGTGTGTGTGTGTGTCCAGCACTGGGGTGGGCAAGAGGGCATGGCTGGACAGCGGAGGCAGAGAGAGAAGGATGGACGAAGCAGACAGGCGTGCCATCGATTCCAGAGAGACGCCCCATCGACCAGGCCTACTGACTGATGGAGGCCGTTCTCCAAGGCTAGCTGGAGAGAAAGAGAGAGCTCACTGAGACCACTTTCGCCAGCCTGGCCTGCCCTGCCTACAAACGGAACATTGAGATGGATTGGATGGACGGAGGAGCGTAACGCAGAGAGCAAACAAGAAAGAAAATGATCGACACAGATAAGAGGGTTCTACCTATGGAATCATTTGTGTTTGGTTTATAGAATGCATTGCTGTTACCAAGTGATGGTTACCATGGCTATAACTGTAACAATTGTTGTTTCCCTGCATTGTCTCTGCAACCAGATGAAGACCAGAGGTATTTTCATTTATGAAAACATATTCTGGGTTATTTACAACTTAAATGTTTATGGACAGCATCTGTGGCATCTGTGATTTTAATAGCAATGTTGATAGCTGCATATTTTAAACGTTTATTTGTGATGCTGCACGCTTGCCTGCTACGCTTATACTGGCAGTGCACTACTGTAAGGGTTTTGTGTTCATCGAAATTATTGTCTGCAGTAACTGACAGCATGCCACAGATTTAGTACACAAACATTTAAATTATAAATAATATTCCTAAAATATTCCTAATTTTAGGGTGTGACTTGATTTTATCTATCAGTAACTGGTTGAATTGTGAAAAGTTACATAGACTGAATGATAGTTTGATAAATATGAAAGATGTCAGCGAAAAGAGAAAGTCATTTCCAAAAAAAAAAAAAGAGCTACGTTTTAAATAACATGTAACATAAATCGTTCCCAGTAAGACCAGGAACATTAAATTCAATTCTGGTCCATTTTAATTATGTCATGTTCACTTTAAGAAAGAATCAACTACTGCGCTATCAAAAACCCTGAAAAAAAAAAAAAACAGTTAAAAAAATAATCAAAAGTTCTTAAAATCTTTAATAAATACTCTCATCTTTTGTTATAATAATGTGAAAATATAAGGTGGTGCAAGAGTGTGAGAGAGAGAGAGCGAGAGAAAGAACAAGCTGGTGTGGATTAAAGAAAAGAAACAGGGCTGGAGGTGCATCGGCGCTGGCAGAACTGAGAGAGAGAGAGCTGGTAAACACAGACGCTAGCACAGCTAATCGCCCGCTCATGCCACTCAGCGGGAGAGCCCCTGACAGTGTGTGTATGTGTGTGTATGTTTACACACCCCCACTCCCCCCCCTGCATGTGCACAGCAACCGGTAACCACGCTGGAGAACAGAACTTCCCCCTGCTGCCATACCACCTCCACTGGAGTTAACACTCCTACACGGCATCAAGACTCGACAGCCTCGAACACAT